AATGAATGCGGTCTAGAGTGTAATTTCCACAAGAATGAAGAAGAATTTCCGATGAAAGGGTCTCTCTCGCAGTGCCCCTGCGGTGGCAATAAGGGTGGCGTATTGCACACCCGGGTATATTTCTGCCCTTTAAAGCAATCCCAGGTGAATTATATCATCTACACAGATACTGATACTCGCCCAAGATCAAAACCCGAAATATAACACCGTAATATGTGATAGTTTAAATCTTCTTTTATCATCTCCGATGGAGTTCAATGGGCTCTGTTTTCATTGAATGATTCTGAAAGCCACACTCGAATGAGTGCGGTGCTGGCTACTCTCAAAGTGAAGTGACGATAAAACCCTGGTGAGAATTGGAGACGCGCGTAGAATCGAAAATGCGACCCTCCGTATAATCGTGGGAGAATTGGAGAAAAAGGGGCGATCCAATTGCTCGGTGAAAAATTGATCAGTTTTAATCAATGGCCAATCGAACGCACGAATGCAAGGAAGCCCTATACCATGAATTTAATCCATTTCCGTAGAATCTTGGATCACGTTCGTGGACAAAACAATTAAGAACACTGTTAGAAAATTACTGGTGGAATTTCAAGTGAAAAAGCTTGAAATTTTTAACAATGACAAAGTTACATGAATTTTCTGTAGAATTCTTTATTGACAAATCAGTCAATTTCTTGAATATTCAGTAATTCTCGATTTTCAGGTCCATACGGTACTGAAAAACCTTCAAGATTTTGAAAATTCGGGTAATAAATTCTCTTGATTTTCAATCTATTGAAAATTGAATTGAATGTGATGTTCAATTTTCACGATGAGTTTGGAAATTCAAGCTTCCATTGAAAAATCAATGATTATTTAACATGAAAAACCCAATTTTCTTGAATTTTTAAGATGAATGAGAAATTTTGTGAACACTTTCATTTGAAATTGAATTTAACCTCATAACATCGAAAATTCAGATGAGCTTGTGACTGAAATTTCAAGAAATTTCTAACAGAAAGAAAAAAATCTAGAAGAGATTTGAAAATTTCCACTACAGTGTGATATCCGAAAATTGTTAATTTAATAAAGACCCTCTGCTTGCTGCCTACGAAGGCAGATTAATCTTCAATCCTCTTTCTCCTGTAATTCGACCTCAGCCCTATGCCAATACCTTTTCTCCACTACTCGCGCCTTTCTCTGCCTTCTTATAAACAATGCCACCTCATAAAGAGTCAAACTCCCTTATCAAAATTCTTAATTAGAAAATTTTAATTATGTTTTGAGGCTGGTTGGGCCAGAGGGGTATTGTGCGTCCCTGAATTTACCAAGAGAGATAGTAAATACACAGGAAAACGGCACACCTCGAAGCAAATATAAGTTTCACGAAAGAAATAACTGACATTGCACAGCAAAAACGAATGTCTGAATTTCCCACACCTTTTGTAGACATTTTTCAGACACTAGAAAACTTCGGAATAAAATGAAAATTTGTTTGAATTCCAAACATGAATTAAGATGTTTGGGCATCGGTTCGTCTGACATTCAGACACGTTTTCGCTTTATTCAGGCGTTTCTTAGTGTTTGAGAAATGTCTACAAAAGGTGTGTGAAATTCAGACATTGGTTTTTGCTGTGTATTGTTCATTTCATGAAGATTTTCCAACAACATCGTCCATATCCTCCATGCAAGGTGTTATGTCTTGCAAATGACCAGTCCAACAGACTCATTCACTCACCTAAATCTCATACTTCGTTCTCAGTTTTCTTTTTCCTCTCATTCTATAAAAGTAGCATTCTCCTACAAGCATGCCAATAATGATATTCTTTGCGGGTTAAGATGAGTAATTCCGTCGGTGGCTTTGCCACTGGGACCCCGTAGACTAACTCCATTAACTGTTTAGCGAAGCGCAATTTATTACGTTATAAAGTCACAAGCCCTTCATCCCACAAAAGTTGATCGGGCTGCTGTTTGATGCTTCGACGAGAGGGAAGAAAAAAGTTGCTCACTCTCTCTGCACTGATTGATCGACGTTTCAAATAGTTTAAAATTGCTTTCTTCGTGGCGGAGACTTGCTCAAAGTTTATATTATATGATGATGTGTATTCATGGGGTATAGAGCGTAAAATAAGGATAAGTGACTGAGTAGCGAATCGGGGCAACAGGTCTCCATGGTCTCGCATCGCTGTCGCGTCACACCAACATGGGATGCGAGTGGAATCGCAACGGCGCGCCAAACGGAAAAGCCTCTTGAAAGTATTCGAAGCACGCGCGGAATTACCTCAGGGAGGCCAGGACTCGCTGTGCGTGACAAGGGCCATACCCATCGGGGACAGCCAAATGCGCTTCAGAGCGTCGACGATTAGTGAATAGAAAAGGACTCTTCTAACCTCAACTCGCTCATCCACACGGAGAAAAAAGATGCGGATAAAATCTGGTGCGCCACCGGTATTTTGCCGGGGGAGTTCATAAGATGAGTGAACTCCGTGATTTTCCCTTCGGCGCACGAGAAAATGTATTTTTTTTTCACCGTCAATTTTACGACATTTCAACAGAATCGAATCTTTGGTAAAACTCTCGAGAAAATCGGTAAAGTCACTACGAAATGTAAGAAATTATTCTATGCGTCGAAATCAAATTATCTCGAGGCTACAGGAATTTGAAATAGGGGGGTTTTGGGTTAAATGGTGCATTTTGAAGTTGAAATAAAAAGGGGTTTTTTGTAGGAAAAATCACTTTTCTACTAATTTCATCAGATAAAGTTACGCTCTCCGAATTCGGTTCTCTCACAGTCATGTTCATATTACACCATCAGAAGTTTACTGTAATTGATTGAGGAGAGTTCCGAAAATTGTCGGGATTTTTCCGATTAAACGCGAAACATTTTCGGAAGAGTCTGTATAATCGGATACTTTCAAAAATTCTTTATGGAAATGAATGTGAAATCGGATTGTTCCCGATTTTTTCACGCGAGGGGGCACCCTTCGTCGGAATCATCGGGAAAAGTCTTGCGATCGCCAGACCACTTCCCATTCTTTTCTCTCCGTTCACCAACTGTCATGATCTTTTGTTTCCCCATCTTTCGGCCTAATCGTTTGATGAATTCACCTATTGATTTGACCAACAGCAACAGGTTAGTCATTGGCGTATAACGATTATGAAATTTGATGTTGTCGTCACACGCTCGATGGACTGTCTGCGGCTCCTCCCAATATTGATTAAAAATGTAAATTGCCCTGACACACAACTCCCTCTACACTTTGTACCACCATCATCTCTCTCTGGTTTTCGTTTTTCATTTGTGTTGGTGCAGGCATCGCTTTGAGCAACGGCTGTGAAGTATAGGTAATAGGTAATTGAAAACACGCGTTATTCTCCTTCAGTTTTCACTTTAATCCGCATTTTATACTCAACACTGTTAGAAATTTCTTGAAATCTCAGTCCGCCATATGAATTTTCGATGTCGTAACGCTGAATTCAATTTCAAATTAAAGCGTTCACTAAATTTCTTATTCATCTTAAAAAATGAAAAAATTGGGAAAAATCAATGATTATTTAACATGAAAAACCCAATTTTGTTGATTTTTCAATGAAAACTTGAATTTCCAAAACTCATCATGAAAATTGAACATTAAATACAATTCAATTTTCAATAGATTCAGAAGCCAAAAAAATTTGAATGAAAATTTGAATTTGCCTGAATTTTCAAAATTTTCAAGGCTTTTCCGCGCCGTATGGACCTGAAAATGAAGAATTACTTGAATATTCAAGAAATTAAGCGACTCCTCAATCACCAAATATACAACAATTTCATGTAACTTTCTCGTTGTCAAAAACTTCAAGCTCTTCACTCTGATAGACAAGATTAGTAATTATTAACAAATGGATTTGGTTGAAGGCTAGGGTCTATTTGGTCTCACCAAATGTCCATTCATTAATAGTTAACGAATTCACATTTGAGGAGTCTTGTTTGAATAAATGAATCATCCTACCAGCGCAGTTGAAATTTCAAGAGTAATTCCCTAACAGCGAGCAAAAATGTATAATTGACACATTGAGTCATTTAATTAACCTAATGGAATTTCAAATGGGAGAAACTAAAATTTATATAATCACCGAAATGATACTAGCGGCACATACAGTTGCATTTCGGATTAGTTAGACACGTCTCGACGCGTGATGACTGCTGTGTGGTGGGTGGTGAGCGCCAGTTCGAAACTTAGATTGCCGTCACGTGGAAAACGAGGAATGAAAGCGCGGGAGAGCGGGAGAGAGAGAGAGAGAGAGAGAGAGAGAGAGAGAGAGAGAGAGAGAGAGAGAGAGAGAGTAAGGGAAGTGGTGTATTCCCCTCTGCCCTCTCCCCCAAGCAATCTCGTTGGGTTTCTGCGTGCAAGTGTTGACGATGGCTGGCACCACATACACCAAAGGTAGCTGTCGAGCAGGGCAAGACATGACCGGCTTTTCCCCCGTAGCAAATCCGACGTAAGACCGCCGTGAAATCTCTATATTTCCCTCTCATGTTGTCGTCGGGCTGCGTTTACCAAGGGCTCAAGTGCAGGGTATCTTCCACTTACACTCGTGTAAATCGAGTAATGGATTAATTCTATAATTGGCTGCTTTGTAATCGAGGAAGCGGTGGGTAAGCACGCCAGAAAAGGATATTGTGGGTAACCTATATAGTACAATGTGACGGTATGAGCATGAGAGTTAGGTAAAGGGGTGCACGAGTCCCTAGACGCGGCTCAACTGAGATTCTTCCTACTACGGGTACATAGCCCCGGGGTAGTTAGCGGTACAGCCTGGGCAAATAGACCCTCTGTAGATCCGTTGAGAATAAGTTCTAGATTATAATGCTTCTATAAACGTATACTCTACGAGTTCAGCGTGTATAGAAGTCGTAATTTGAAAAATTCTCTGCAATGGCTGTTGAAAATTTTTTACATAACGTTTCATTAATCCTCAAGTTTTTTATCTCTCTTTTTTCATCATAATATTTCAATGAAGTATTCTATTTTCAGGTAGGTTGTATTCTGCGGGACTAATTATTAAGTGTGGCTTGGAAATTGTGTACAAGAGTTACTGACATAATGATGATGGCTAATCTTCCCCCCGTTATGCTGCCGGCCCTCCATGATTACGGTATGCTGACACCAACTCTCGGCATAAAGGTATGTGTTTTCAGTGATTATTTGAGAATCGATAAATCGAGTACTGGGATATTTTAAAATGATTGAAAATTAGTTGGAAAATATCCGTCAGAATATCTCTCGGTGGAAGGAAAATTTGATGAATGTACAATGAGATACTGCAGGACTACTTTCAATTTTTATTACCCGTGTTATGAACCGTTTAATTCCAATCATCAATTCATGACAATTTCACCAAACACACAAACATATTTTCCCCCCCATGTGAAATATAATTTCGTTCCTCCTGCGCCCCAATTCGCTAAATCGCAACAGTCTGCCAATGGGGCGATATGAAATTCGATTGAATCACTTTTCGAGGCCTCCGTAATGCAATTCAGTGTAGCTCTCTTTCCACCCATACACATACGCATAAACTGATAGGTGAGAAATTTAGTTATCAAGAATTAATCGTTAATACAGCAGTGGCCGATTGAATTATTTTTCTTCAACACGAGTGGGGATTATCTTCAGTGCAAATTGAAAACACTGTCGCGTTGTATTTTCATTGAATTAATGAAAACCAAGTGGCGAAATTTTACTCTCTACTCATCTCCTAGTGGCACGTTTTACAGTATAACAAAACCATCGTATGTTGGCGGTTTGTACGTGCGTCGTCGATCTCCCAGTGGAATGGTACGCGTGTGTGTTGCCACCATCCCCTCAGGTCCATGCGGTCCTCCTCGGACCCTCGTTTGCATAGACAAACAGAGGAGGTTTGAGAGAACACACGACGTGCCCGCAACACCGTTGTGGGACCTGTGCACTGGCACTGGCAGTATGCCCACCACTAGGAACGTTTATTGTCGCTGGTATACATGTAAATTCAGATGGTCATCGGTGTTAATTGTTTTCATTCAGCGGTAATTTCGTCCATCATTAATCATTTGAATCGCGATGGGTCATTCCTTTTTTTCTTCTCCATTCGATAATATCCGGAATAATTCTCAATTATGAAAATGATTTTAGAAACACAAATGCATGTTGGAAAGAGCCTTCGACTTTCCGCCTGGAGATTCAATTTACACTGTTAGAAAATTACTCCTGAAATTGCGAGCAAAAAATCTTGAAATTTCTAATAATCACTCAATTACACGAAATTTTTATGTATTTTGTTATTGAAAAATCAGTTTTTTTTTGTTTTTTTTTTTTTTTTTATTAAGCATTTGAAACTTATTAACAAAGTTTATCAGCTATAAATTCATAATATATAGAATTAATGTCTGGACTGTATTGATTCTTTAGATTTTGAGTTCACAATCTTTGAAAAATTTATCGATGGCATCAATGATAGAGGATCTGAAAAATCAGTTGAATTCTGGTTTTAATACAAATTTTTTTTATTAAACACACGGTGGGTTGTTACTCTTACGGAGAGAAGAAAACGTCAATGCAGAGTTAAAACAAAATAATAGTTATAGAATCATACGGAAAACAACCTTACGTTATTTTACATAATCTAAAAATTTACAAGGGCGACTTCAGTGCAATTATTTGTTTTTTTTCTTCTATTCATAATTAGACAACGAAATTTTTAGTTTCCTAATTCTTCGCAGAATTAGGAAACTAAAAATTTAAAAATTTATGACCTCATTCAGGTGAAATGAATTTGAAAAAGCTCTGAAGTGGCCAGGAGAGAGTGTCATTGTAGTATTTAAGGCGGAGGGAATCAATTAAATTCTGGAGTATTCAATGGAATTGCCACTTTCAGGTTCACGTGAGACTGAAAATTATTGAATAATTTGAAAATTCAAGATAATTTCCCTGAATTTTCAGTCCACGGAAAATTCAGTTGGATCTGGTCTTCAATTTCCGCAATGAATTTGAAAATTCTAGATGTCCTTGAAATATCAGTGATAATTTAACATGGAAACCCCAATTATTCTGAATTTCCAACCTGAATGAGAGATTCCATGAACGATTTCATCTTAAATTGAATTCAAGCTCACAACATTGAGAATTCAAGTGCAACTATTGCTTAATTTTCAAAAAATTTCTACATGTGTAGTTCGGAATAAATTCTTCTCAACGTTCATTTAATTTTCCCAATTGAAGTAGGGAGAATGATCTTGACATTACGAACCACAAAATTGAAAACCTGAAACATTGGAGAAGTCTCTACTCTCTTTGTAAGTTGAATCTTGTTGAAAAGTGCTGACCACTGTGATGGGCTATTATGGATTGGTGGGATAGTGAGCAAGAGAAACTTCCCCCTGCAGGAGGGCGGAAAAAATGAATAAAAAGGGGCTGAGATTCATCGATGAACGATCCATCCAAGTCGTAGCGTCAAGAGAGCTTCGCACGTATCACCCGCTGTTCCGGTGAAAAATTATCTTTACCGTCAGAATTTGTGCACATTACATATATTTTTTCCCCCGAAAAAGTAGTGATGCGAAACAAGTTTAGAAAATCGCCCACCGAGTGATGATTGTTGCAACCTCTGGTTGAAAAAATTTGTAGTTCGAAATTTTCCATTTTTTTTTATCACCATGAAACAAAATAAGACACGGAATGTGCTGAGCCATTGTCCGAAATTCCTCGGACTTTTTTACAACAGCAGAGCATTTTCACAGTGAGAGTTACCCAAGCGCGTTCGCGTCGTTCAATTGGCAGTTAACCTCCCCCATGAACGTGAAAACGCATTTGCTCGGTTGTTCAGAGTATAGGCCAAATGGAAAATTGAGTCCTCGTACAATTTTATTACGGCACGTGCCGGGATCTGTAGGACACATATTGTATCGTTGTTTCAAAATAGAGAGGCTCAAAAACAAGCATTGTGCTCCTCCACCCAGTGGTGGTCCTCCTAATGTGCATTTGAATTCACATTACGATGAAATGGAAAATTTTTAATACAATCCACATATTGTGTGACGGCTTCCACTAATGTCACTGGATATTTATATTTTAATATCTTATTTATATTTTAATGACAAAATAATAATGCTGAAATTGAATAGAATCCACGTACATTTATGTGTCTGAGCCTGTTGAGGCGGTTGACAATACATGGCCCATAGAATTGTGTTTAATTGTATTAGATGAAATTCAAGAGCCGTTTGAATTGTCGAAGCGCAAAATTATTTGAGCTTTAGTAGTCTCTTTGTGCATGTATACCTGTCACGCGTATTTGTATGTACCAGTGGAGAAGGAGGACACGCACGATTGGTATACGCACAGGCCTTGCCACGCCCGACTGAGTCCACCTCTACTCTAATTTCGTTAGCTTCAAACAAACAATTCGGTTACAGCCATATAATTGTTGGTAATCTGATCCACTAACGCAGTTTAACGGAAAAACTATGTAGCTCTCTGTAACTCTGTGCATATCCTGCCGAGTCACTAAACTCCATTTCTCTGTGTACTCTCGCTCGAATGTACACTTGATTGTCTGCTAATTAAGAGTGCGATTGAAGAGCTAGCTCTCTCGTACGAGTATTAAATTCAATATTCACCCGAATTCAGAGTCAACTTTAATTTTTACAATTTATTTACACTCTCTCGCTACTTCATTCAGTATTTTTTATTGAAAGCCTTTTCGAGTGCACTAATCGATAGAGGACACATGGTTTCATCTTTTCTCCCTCCATCGATAACTCCCACGGCTTTTCATATATATCTTTTTCACTTCATAAATTTAATCGGCTTCGGCTTTATTGGATTTCAGGGTATATAGTCTTGTACAGTGAAGTTCACGTTCGAATAACGTCTCCACGTGAGCTCAAGGAACATATCCTATGTATACATGGATTTTTTTTTCTTTTCATCACAGTGTCTTGAATTTTGCTGTGGCCATTTTGCAGGGGCTGATAAAACAGCCTATAGTGTAGGCTGTATTGAAACTACTTTTGTTAATAATTCCTTTTCTACATGAATTAACTCAAAATCGAAAAATGATCTATCGTACACTGAGAAAAATTTCAATGGTGATTTTAACAACAAGGGAATTGTCAGAGAAGTTATATTTACAGTGACAATAAACTTTGTAGATTAAACTAGGATTCATCGTTCGATTTACTATGTCAAATAGTGTCATTCACATTATGATGTAATTTTCACTTTAATGTTATAGTTGAATCTACAATGTTATTGTTACCGTAGCTATTATTTTTTGACAATTCCCTTGTTGTTGAAATTACCATTCAGTAGCGAAGCGGTAAACCGGGTTAAGTCGATTTTGACTTTTGGGCATTTTTTGACAAATATCTCGGAATCTAAGAGAGATAGCAAAATTTTGCTCATCACCTTTTTTATAACCCTCAGTTGGCTCTACAAAAAAGGTCATGACAAAAATTTTTCTATCTCTTTTAGATTCCCAGATATTCGGCAAAAACTGGCCAATAGTCAAAATCGACTTAACCCGGTTTACCGCTTCGCTACTGCATTGAAATTTCTCTCAGTGTAAAAGTCATTATTCCGTGCAGCAATAAGTACATCCACGTATACTTACCACTTCGCATATGCAAGTGAGATACATCTGCACGGAGAGAAATATTTAATAAAAATTATGGAACAATTCACGTAATCCTCAATGGGAAATCGTCTTCCTGCAATTTTTATAGGAATGGAAGAGAATAAATCTGAAACGTTCAGTGAATTTTCAGGTTTATCATCGAACAAAATACGAAATTGTCACGTAATTTTTCCTGAAGAAGTAAAATCTTACAGAAACTCTCCAACTTATTGTGCCTCCAAAATTAAAAATTCTTGAACGTTCAACAATTTTTATGAAGCTGGTGAGTTATTTTTACGTTCCGTTCCATAAAATTTCTCAATCGTTGGGGAAAAATTACGGAACGACTTGTCCTCACAGCGGTGAGTCGTCAGACGGGTGGTTAATTTTTACGGAACAAATCGTAGATGTTATGTGGCGATTCGTACAATTTCAGTTCCGACTCACACTTTTTACTGAACTTTACTTCGCTCACGGATTCGAAACCTCATTTTTACGTTTTTTTTTTTGGTAATTTTTATTGAATTTTCCT